AGTTTTCGCATGCCGTCGGAAGGAAGTTCGTCCCAAATCCGGCATCCTGACGTGACCAAATGTCTTGGAATTTGACTGTATGATGGCCAATATTAAAAATACTACTTAAGTCATAGTTTCCTATTTTTAGGGAGGTTTGGCAGATTTGCTTAATTTAGTTGCCCTAATTGTGCAAAAAACTCACGGCCTCGGTGGGAGTCGAACCCACACATCAGGAAAGGCTTTTGCGCAGCAAACGCTCTGCCACTGAGCTACGAGGCTCACCGTGCGCTGGGAATCTAAACACAATTGGCTCGATTTTACCCGCCCGACTTGCTGCTTGTATGGAACAACCAATAGTTGCCAGTGAGCGGCTAGGATCGCAAAGTGGGATGCTTATGGAGCTAAAAGTCCATTCTCCCTTCCACAATCCATCGCAATCCGTTCCTCGAATGCATCACAAATGCTAGCCACCAACCAATACAAACCAGAAGTCCCTTCAACGGCTGCCAGAAAAGAGAATTTTAGCTTCATCTTAAGCCAAGAGTTAATGGCCATACCTTCTTTAGGGACAGAACTACTGCAATTAGGACATAACTTCGAATATATTCAAGTGTAAGCCAGATGGTATCAGTTTCCCAGTCATTCAGAGCCAATGCGATACGGCACAGACAACATAATGGAAGTACTGCGGACACAAAGTTCCGTAAATGTGCATAACCCTTGGCCTGAAATATGTAGCCAATAGTCAAGCAAATTCCGGACTATAGTGCAGAGACCTGATCCCAGTCATATGGAAACCTTCTACCTACCTACTCGTTACTAGCGTGTGGGCAGAGGTAAAACAGGCCCCAAAATTTCTCTTAAGGTCTAAAAGTGATAAAACAGCACGGGAATCCGGAAGATAAGTGAAGAGCGCCAGTTAATCTATTGATGTCCAGTGAACATAACATCAGTAAGTCAGTGAAAACGTCCGCAAGACAGCGTGACAAAGCAAGAAATGACGCTCACGACTGCCTGGGCACAAGCAGGCACACTGTCCAATCGATAAACCCATCAAAGTGCATACCTCGGCCTCAGTAAGCTAAGCAGAACACAACCACCAACTAATCAAACCAGAGGCCCGAAAAAGTGGAGAAAAGCAGAACTCGAACCAAGTGACGAAAAAGCATTGAATAAACACAAAAGATTGATGGCGCTTCTTTTAAATAATGTAGAAAATAGCAGATATTAAATTTCATGTCTGAAAACGTTTCGGTAAATTGGTTTCGAGAGCTTTCCTCCAATCCTTGTGCTGGCGATAAGAGAGGAGGATGCTGAGAACTATGTTGATTGGCAGGGCAGACGACTTTGTTTTGTTTTCCGCACCCCAACCCTCCGGGCCGAACTCTTGCAGCGGCAAACGCGCCGATTCAGTGCCAATGGCGTTAGCGGCTGCCAAACTAACGCCCTAAAAAGTAAAATAATCTCATAAGGGTTTTACGGGGAAAAAAGCCCGGGAAGTCTCGTCCTCCGAGCGAACGAAAGCCACCTGGTATAGAGGAGAGCTCAGGAA